TGAAGGATCAACATTACCCTACCTTAAGGAAATCAACTTGAAACGAGAAAGTAATTAAGAGCATTAAGATATGTATATTAGTTCTTTGTTTGAAGTTCGTTGTTGGTGATGGTGAGTTAATGTTGTTTAATTGTTTATTGCGTGCATTTTCCATCACGATGGTAAAAAACAGTACACAAAGTTTCGGGATCTGAAATCTGATAGCGTACTCAGGTGAAAAAAAACTTAACTAACACATTACAACTAACAATACACAAACGCCCAACCTGTGTTGGAATACACTACAAAGGGTAGCAGTAAAAAACTATGCACTGTATAGCAGTTAAGTCATGATACAACATGCAAATAATAACCAATCGCAAAACACTAGTCTATAAAAAGTGTAGTGTGAACAGCTCACACAGTGGAACACTAATCGCACCGTTCGCAATGACTCCATGAGGCTGATTTTCACCAGGGCATAATTTTTTACTGCTACCCTTTGTAATGTGTTTCAGCTTAGGTTGGGCTTTTGTTTATTGTTAGTTGTAATGTGTTGGTTAAGTTTTTTTTTCACCTGAGGATCAGATTCCAGATCTCGAAACGTTGTGTATTGTTTTTTACCATCGAGATGGAAAATGTCCGCAATAAACCTTTAAACAACATGTATGTAAGTGTGTGTTTTTTTTTTTTTTTTTTTTTTTTTTTTTTTATAACATATACGATTAGTTCGTACGGTTCATATCTGGGATTGTTCGAAACGAGCCTTGCTATCATCATATTTAAAGATGATATCTTACTAGTATGTAAGTGCGTGTATTTGTTATCACCGACAATAATGTATCAGACTTTGAGAACACGGTTCTATAAATCAACGTATTCAAAAAAGTTAGCAGATCATATTTATCATGAATTTAAAAGTTGACGTTTTATTGAATTAATAACGTTTAAAGAATTGATAGGTTTCAGTAGTGGTTTTTGTTAGTAATACGGTGATTATTATGAATATGGTCTGTAATTTTGAGTAATTACTACCAATTAAGAAGTTAACTGATTCATCAAACATTAAGGTTCCAGAGGCGTCAAGTGTAAAAATCGGTTCAGTTGCTTCTTTGACGCCTCCGCTACAAACTGATTTGCATTGTTATAGGTCGTTGCGGATTGATGTGACGGAATTGTTGGACCGTCTATAAGTGTGGATGTGATGCTCCCTGGTGTGTATTAACGTCCGCACTAGTGAGTACAACGACTATCCGCAGTCCTGATAATTAGACCAAATCGTTAATTACAAGGAAAAATGTGGTTTGAATTCTACTACAAACTGTAGGTTCCTTAGTTGCCATTGGCTATATGGGCTATTAATTAACAGCTGTGTCTAAGAAACATGCTGGCCTTAGTCACTAACAATACTACAAGATAGCGCCACTCATCCTACACTCATCCTTCATTCATATTTGGGTTAAAATACGCACCTAGTGGCGTCTCCATCTTAAATAATTGATAATTGTGAAGTGGAAAACAAACATAGAAGTTTTAGTAAAGATAAACTAATTATTTGAGAAAATCCACAAAACTCTGTGAAATCAAAAAGTTATATTCTGATATGTTTTTATAACCTATATCAGCATAAGATACCAGATCAAAAAATTAACTATTAAAGAGCTATCTCCAGTGGTATTATTAATTAAGAGTCCTTTGAGGCTAGCGGCCATCTTGGATAGTTTCAAACACCTGCTGAAGAGTTATTTATCGTCCAAAAATATATTATTCAAACACCAAAGTGATTATAATTTAAATATGTAAACTGTGAGATGAGAAATGTTGGTTGTAGTTTTGAACTGTTCTCGAAGGGAGTTCATTGAAGCTAACGGCCATCTTGGATTTGCCAACCATAAGAGCAATGTTAATTTCGTCAATTTCAAACAGCCGCTGGGAAGTAATGTATCCTCTCAAAATATTTGTTCAAACACCAGAGTGATTGAAGTTTAAATGTCTAGTACACTGTGGTATTAGAAATTTTCGATGTAGGTTTTTAATTTTTTTTACGACTTGGGACGTCTAGGCTCAAAGAACTCTTAATTAATATTTACTCTTGTTTGTGAGTTTTATCAGGCCCTATTGTGTTTCAGTAATAATAGATTATCATATTTTGTGTTTATAAAAGAACCCTAATTTACACTATATATATATAAAATAATGTACTCCAGGGCAGAATTCAGTTTATTTTTTAATATCCAACCCATATAAGTTCAAACTAACTCTTTTACACCTGGAAAACAATACATTTAATTATTTGTATAAAGGCGATGTTCCAAATGGTACGTTACAGAAGTAATACCCTTGTACATTAGCTTCATTTCCCCAAGCTCAAACTTAAAGGACGAAGTAATCTCTCCTAGTTACTTTGGTGAGATCCGTTTGAAGACGAGATCACAACTTCAGAGAGAGAATGTATATTTCTATAATTAATTAAACCCATCTGAATGCTTAGTTACGTTTTTTATCGGCACTTAACACTTTTTCTTGGTTAGCTTTGATACGTTAATTTTCGATCATTTCAGGTATATTTTTATGGGCGGGCATTAATTGCGCCAACTGACCTAGGTAGTCGGGCATTCCTGAATTGCGCCAACTACTCCAGGGAGCCACCCGATTCGTTTATTAACTGCACCAAGTGGAGGCTCTCTTTGACTGTATAATTGAGTAGGTTAGGTTGGTTAGGTTAGGTTAGGTTAGGTTAGGAAGGTTAGATTAAGTTAGTTTAGGATAGGTTAGGATGACACGTGAACTAGGCCATTCCTTCTGTGGCAACTCACCCTACCTGGCTTGGGCTTGACACAACTAAGGCACATTTTTGGGACCCTTTGATGACTTGGCGCAATTATGGAACTCTTTGGCGTAATTAATGCACAAGCATTTTTACACATCACAAGTTTATAACGTTTATAAACGTAGTGTCGTGGGATTGGAACTGTCGATCTACGAGCTGTCTTCAGACCGGCACAATAATGTTTTATCTTCCGGTTTTTATCAATTTTTTCACATTTTCGGAACTTTTAGGGATTTTTTCGGGGTGAAGGTCAAATAATGGTGTAACGACACACACGTAAAAGAATAAGATTAATATCACAGGGCAAAAAATATTTGCGTCCAGAATTAACACCGTTTAGGTACGAACCAGCAACCTTCAGATAGAAGACACCACACTCCATCAACTACCCAGATAAATCCCTACTGTAATTACTTAATCATTTTCATTTCATTGTCAACTGGGGTGATCCATTTTGTGCCTCTTTTGGTTGACGCCATCAAATATTGTAATCTAAAATGTATATTGTTTATAAATATTCATACAGTTTTGACGAGAATAGTTGTCAATGGGGCGTTCCATCCATATTAAATTCTGTTTACACACATAGCTGTTTACTTGCACACAACCCGCAGCACATTGCATAGTCATGACCCAAGCTGGATAAAACAACGTTAGTGATGATTGTAATTACTTTTAACAGAAAATTGTGCTTGTACAGCTTCACTGTTTGTAGTTGGTAAATCATAATTATGATAATTATGAATCAGAATGAGAGTGTGGTTTAAAGTATTAAACAGTATTTTCGATTATTATGATGTAACATTACAGTCATACTTTCAATATTCATGATTTACATCAGTGAAGTACCAAACCACGTTAATATACATGGTACTCTTACATTATGAATGAATGAAATTATCTTTATATTTAAAATCTAATAAACTCAAAGACAACTTATAATGAAGTCTTCATGTTTTTATACCTACATATTCTTATCATACATCAAACTGAAATCGTTTTGCATTAAACAAAAATCATTACTACAATGTTGGCAATTTTAACAAGAAAGAAAAAAAACTATAGCGTCACATGAAATTATTTATCCCTTAGACTTCACTCAAGTGGGATGCACTTCTCAAAATGTTTTTCTAAAAACGTAGAAAAATTAAACTCATTTTCCCGTGTTAAAAAGATCACTTTTCTATGCAAGGAATATAAAAATATGTTAAATAGATTATGTATCTTGGTTGTACAATTTGAACCGATCGCGTTTATTATTTCACCTTAATTACGAGAGTTTAGCATATTAAAACAATAACATTACTGTTTAAACGTAAAGTGTCTGTAATCCATTGAGTACCATAGTTCTACGTATTTTGTCATAATTTCTAAATTTTATATTTACGTTTTTTTATACAAAATATTATTGCATGGTCTACTGAAATAGCATGGCTATTCCAATGGTTAGCAATCGGGTCTTCTGTCCTGTAGACCGTGTTTATATTCTGTCTAATTAATAATTATAGCTGTGTGGTAATGCCTTAAGCGATTATCCGTAGCCCACCATAAAAGTTATAGGTTTATAAGTCTAGAAAACATAATCATTTTCTATATTTCAGGAGAGAACTTTTCTGCATTGTAGAACTTCCACTAAAATCCAAACACCAATTGGTTGTAAAATTTTGCAGATTTTGCCAGTCACAGATAAAACAAACTGCACTAGCCATGTTATGATCGTAAAAGTGGTTTGGAGCCTAATTTTGAGCTGAAGGTTCATCCGTTTAGGGGAAAAAAGATACTGGTGGCCCATGGGATCAGAACGTTTTATGTACTTGAAGGGTGGACATTAATTGCGCCAACTGACCTGAGTCAGGTGGTCAGGTATTCTTGAATTGCGCCAACTACTCCAGGGAGCCACCCAATAAGTTTTAACTGTGCCAAGTGGTGGCCCTTTTTGACTGTGTAATTGAGTAGGTTAGGTTACGTTAGGTTAGATTAGGATAGAAATCCATGGTGATGGTTTACGGCGTAGGAAAGTATCCTCAGGTGGCTTGGGCTTGGCAATCCTAAGGAACATTTTTTGGGACCCTATGAGGGCTTGGCCAGTTAAGGAACTCTTTGCGCAATTAATGCACGACCTACTGGACAATATCATCTACTAAAAGTCCTAACAGCTGTTATTATATTCTGCAACTTTTGTTTGTCGCAGAACGGGGAAGCTTCACTATCCAACGGACGTGTGCGGACCCTTGTTCGAGGAAGAGTTGGAGTTCTGGGGGTTGGATGCCAACCAGGTGGAGCCTTGCTGTTGGATGACCTACACGCAGGTAATTGGATAAAAAACTTGAATATTACAAAATACAGAAGTCTTACTAATAAACAACCTTACACAGCTGTTGTATTGGTCTAATGGCATCTCCGTACGAGTATAATGAAATTTGTCCTCCAGAACTGTACAAACCATATACACTGGTAATATAAATATTTGAAAGGCTGTAAAAATACATAAAACATACTTCATTTGCATTTAGAAAAGATACAGTAGTGGTCGGAACAATTTTTGTCGGTGAAATCAGCATGTGAATGGAGAAAATGTACCTTATGTCCTAAAATCCAGGTAATGTTAAGAATTAAAACTATTACAGTACATTAACGCGTGACTCATGTAATTTAAAACAATTTTTTCAGTAGGTTAAGTCAAATCACATTTTATTTCCACTATATAAATCAAAGAAGTTTAAGAGTTCATTATTAAAATGATAATTGATCATTTGAATACAACAGGGTTTTTTATTAAATGTAAGTTGTGAATGTGTTGAAACTGGCCCACTGATAAGTTCCGTACATCTAAAGGTAGGCAACTCTATAGCAGCACCCAAATTGCAGTGCGACGTTTGAAGGCACTAAGCAAACTGTCTGTCTGGCTTTAAGTAGGCCTAACCATACAAACTGTTTTTCTTGTTTAGCGACTCTGCAGCAAAACATTTATGTTCTTAATACTGATTAAGAACAGTATTTGTAAAATGTATAGCTACATTTTATATATTTATGTTCATTGGACTTGTAATCTAACCATCATATTTTAATCTGTGAGAAGCTATAAAAAATGTATCGATAAAAAGAGTTTATTTTTAAACATGTCTCAATTTTGTTTGTAATTTAGTAACACATTAGACAATATAACTGCTTTAGCTTCATTCTTTTTCTTCCCAATTACTATTTATACTTAATTTTGTTGAATTTACCCTCCTGGTCGAAATTAAATACTAAAATTCATCGTAAAAACTTAGCATTGGTGCTACCTGAATTGTTGGGGGATAGCAGCTAGTTTAAACTCAACAATCAGGTCAACATTGGATGTGTTTTTGCAACAAGAAAACATCCAGCACTTATGATTATCCCAATGTCGTGTTGAAACTAGTTGCAATAATTGAAACGATTCAGATCGCAATTTTATAAAAATGTATAGTACTATTATTAAATTTCGAGACAACTAATTTAATTTTTGTAAACAAAAAAGGATTGAATGAATCTTGCTATTTTAAAAACTGCTAATGATCTTGTAAAACATAAAGTATACACATATACAGAGTTTAGAAATTAGTGTACACAATGTATACACCAATATACAATTTTACCATTAAAATCCTGGCATCCTTTTGAATACCCCGTATTTAAGTACCTGTAACAGTAATTGATTGGTTTAACACCAAGCATTTTATCGAAAAACATTATACGACTGGAAGCTACCAATTTGGATTTAATACCTACTAAATCTTTATTTTTACATCATACTGTAATTAATTGGTTCTCCTACCAGTAAACCATTTACTGTTATCTTTTCTGTGTTCAAATACGTTTGATTTGCTGTTTGGTAATTTATTTATTTATTATTTATTTATTCATTCATTCATTCGTTCGTTCGTTCGTTCATTCGTTCGTTCATTCATTCATTCATACATTCATTCATTCTTTCATTCATTTATTTATTTAAACAATTTACAATAGCTGCAGGTAATTAAGTTAATAATACATAATTAGGTTCTCAGCAATGTTTGTGTTGTTGTTGGATCATTATTTATGAATATGACAACTCATTAGTCATTTACAGTTGAGCTTCCACTCCGGAATACAACTCGACTCGGCGACTAAGTAATCAGACTTTGACGTTTCATATAACTTACGAACCATCGTAAAGTAGGTTGGTCCGGTTAATGCGTGGTATTTTTGTCTTTGAGGGCTGGGTTCAAATTCTCCCAATCGCCAACATAGCTTTTTGACAACATAATAATCCTGAGGGTTTGGAGCTTTCAATAATTTGTAGCTCTACTTATCTCGAAATTTAAATCGATAGGTATCTAAGGCGAAGGAAAATTCCAGTGTATTCGAAATCTCTCTCCATTAAATTACATAGTAGAATTTAATTTTAATCGATAGTAGTAGTAGCAATATACGGGTCCTATGACACTTTAGGCACGTTTTCCCCATAAGAATAACATGGTGAGCTTTTTTTAGCCACTTTTTTAAAAATCCAGCTCTCGGCCTATACAAGCCTATATAAATGTTCAATACCATTGTATAACACTATTACTATTTCAAATCCACATCCATTCACAAAATCGAGCGAGGTTTGCACGCGAACTCGTGCGCGCTCCCGACTCATGGCGCGCTCCCTTGGACATCCTTAGTGGAAATCCATGAGTTCTGGCTACTTGGGAATCCAAGCCATTTGACATACAATAAATCACCCTTCCTCCTAATTACTTTTTCTATCAAATACATGTCTTTATACTTGGTCTTTAACAACTCCTCTGTATAGAAGCCTCCCCTGATTATATTGCCATTTTCATCTTTCAAGATATAGGTCACAGGCTTTGTATTTTTAACTTCTGCTATTGTAAATAGTTCCCCTGTCCAATTCGGAGTATAACCTTTACTAAAAACATGTTTATACTTGGAAATCCTCACACTATCACCTACCTTATATCTTGGCTTTTTAACTTGCACTACTTTAGAAGTCAACCTCTCATGCACGTATTTACTATTCTTAATACTCACTTGGTTAGGCTTCATTCCTATAGATCTATGGACCTTATTATTATATTTTCGAATTAACTTTGGAAGAAAATCCAACCATTTATAACTCCCCTGAGCACTAAATTCCCTATATAACCAATTCTTTAAAGTTCTTTGAAACCTCTCCACAATTGCAGCCTTAGTTGTAGAAAACGTGTGATAGTGATTAATATTTAATTTTTTCATTAGTTTGCTAAAATATTGATTAAAAAATTCTTTTCCATTGTCAGATTGAATGTTTTTAACCCCCTTTGGTAGAATGGTTTTAATGACTTCTGTAACCACCAAACCCGTCTTATTCTTTAGTGGAGCAGCATAAGCTTTTTTAGAAAATGTATCTATTAAAGTTAAAATATATTTATTGCCAGAATTCTCTCTAGCATAGTTTTGCATATCAATTAAATCTATTTGTACAGTTTCGTTTATACCTAATACTTTAAAAGACCTTCTAATGAAATTCTTTCTTGCAGGCTTATGAAGTTCGTATGCAATTTCATTCATTTTTTATAACATCACTCTTTCCTTGTACTGTAAATATATAACCATTAGCCCCAATCAATAGATTATCTTCCATTCTTTTAAATACATAGTTTTCTGGTATATATGGTCTATTATCTATATACTTAAATCCGCTCAAAGATGTAGGGTCGGCAACTAATAAATCAGGATTGTATTCCATCAAATTAAATTTTCTTCCTGCATATACAAATTTTGATCCATCATAATACATAGCTTGTGACATTAAACAAATATCATCTAAATATTCCCCCATTGGTAGATTTCTTATATATTGTTTTTTGGCATCCCAACATTTTTCTTTATTATCAAAAGTTATAGTCTGTTCTTTTGTAACACAGTCAGTGTCATCAATGGCAGGTTTAACACATACTAACCTTTTATTATTAAAATCCCAATAGCCTGCTTCCATTTTTGGAACTTGTGAAACATTCACAGCATCTTTACTATCTGTACCTTCCATCAAATCGCTAAGTTTCTGTTTCTTAGCATTCCAAACACCATTCTCTGATTCTAAAAATGCATAATTATTATCGTCTTGTACAAATTTACCATCTTCTTTTCGTATTAAAGTCTGTTGTAAAGTGGGCACATCATTTAAACTTTCACCCTTTTCCACATTAGTAATTTTCCGTTTCTTAGCATTCCAAACACCATTTTCTGATTCTAAAAATTCATAATTATTATTGTCTTGTACAAATTTACCATCTTCTTTTCGTATTAAAGTCTGTTGTAAAGTGGGCACATCATCTAAACTTTCACCCTTTTCCACATTAGTAATTTTCTGTTTTTTAGCATTCCAATTTTTATTCTTAGATTCTAAAAACTCATATTTAGTTTTACCTTGTAAAAATACATCACCTTTTCTAGTTAATGTCTGACCCAAAGTTGATACATCATCTACAAACTCCCCATCTTTAACATTACCAATTTTACGGTTTAAACAATTCCAACTATCGTCTTTTAAATTTAAAGTAGGTTCATGACTAGCCCTGGGTTCTGCAGGCTTATTATATGGATTATATAAACGATAAAATTTATCTATAAACATATTTTTATTTAATAAATAATACCACTTTCTCTCAATTCCTCAATAATGGAATCTATTTCATTATCCACTCCTGAGTTACCGGCTTGGCGACTTAGCCAAAGAAGTCTTAACCTATCTACAAGCTCATTAGGATCATCCCAATAAATATAGTCTATTTTATTACCAGTCACTTGTCTCAAACCTTCACCAACAGATTTAAATAGAGGTTTAATTATATTAAGATATTTAGTATGTCTATTACTTGAAATTGGTGCACCGTCTTTGTAACTCTTTGAATGCCCATTTGTAGCTTCCAAAATGTCTTTATAATTTTGCAAATCAGCCTGAGTATAATCCTCAGGTTCTTTTAAAGTTAACAACTGCCACAAGCCTTTTGTCCCCTTGTAGGTTTTATTTGCAACTGTAACATCATCATTGGCAATATCAACTTCCTTATTTCCAATAAAAAATTTATTTGCTTCTCGTCTAATACCATATGTAGTGTCTGTCATACTACTTTTACTGAGGTAATTTCCTACATAGTCTGATGCTAAAAGACCAAAATCTAATTTCTGTGGGGTGGATGGTTGTAATGGTTGTAATGGTTGTAATCTTGGTATTATTGGTATTCTAGATGGAGTCATTGGGAGAATCTCCATTCGAGGTCTCTCTGTTTTACCAATAGATGTGATTTTTTTTAATTCT